TCACGGCAAATAATGCAGATTTCCCTTTTATTATAAGCACAATAGAAAGGCAGGGCTTGTGTTTCCAAAGTATGTTGTTTGGGAGACCTTTGTAAATCATAATCTTTGGAAATCCCAAACTTATTGGATGTAATCCCATCCATTCGATGAAGACAACTTGCCTATGCAATAGATCCAGAATAGCAAGTTAAATAGAGAACATGAACAGGAAGCAGTCATTAAGAATTACAATGGGTAGGATGCAGAGTTAATTCACAGAGATACTGTGTTATGAGATAATTACATCACTGGGACAGCTGGAAAGCTGAGTGCTGTGCTGGACCACAGAGCTTGCTGTCTGCTCTGCAGCTGGGGGTCAGGACAGTAGAGACAGCAGGAGAATTATTTTATGGGATAGCGAGGGGCTTGGCTGACTAAATTGTGAAATGATAACCTATCTGCCTCTTTGGGATTGTGTTTTCACAGCTAAACTGCATTCATATACTCAATAAGTGCTGAGAACCCCTTTTCACTTCTACTTTTTTGAACATTCACTTGGGTCACATTAAGCTAAGCTCTAATAGATAAATATTGAATGGTAGTTTTCATTTCCTCTAAAAGTAATCTGAGATATTGTTCATATTCAACACAGTGTGATATAGTCCTCGCAGGGAGCTGCAGTCTTGCGATCACTGAAATGGTATTTTTGTCAGTTTACTGAATAGCAAAAAAAAGAAAAAAAAATGGTTTAAAAAGTCTTGAGATGTTGGTCAATGCAAGGAATCATACAAAGTTATTTTCCAGTGTTTATGTTCAAATGTTCAGACCTGTCTGGCTCTTTTGTTTTGCAAGTGTAGGGGTTCTAGGCAGCCTGACCACATTCCTCATTGATTTATATAAATATATTACAGATTGTTAACCTCTTGCCAAATATCAGGGATTTCAGTTCTTGTTTAGCTCAGTTCCTTTCTGTGAGATTTGCATTTATCTTTTCTTTAGTTCCCACCAAAGTGACTATTATTGATTTGGGGTAATTCCAGAGGGAGTCATTGTAGATGAAAAAGCATCATATATATTATGTTCTAAAATTCTTAAGATTAATATTTATAACTATTTAATCAAAATGCATTTTCTACCCATTATGACTAATATAACTTAATTTTTCTTCTGATAATGTCTACTAAACAGTTAAATCAAACTAAATTTCTTAGTGTAGAGAAGTATTTGTTTACTAAACAAATAAAACTAAATATTTTAGTGTAGAGAAATATTTCCCAAAATGTCTTCTGTATAATACTGGACCTATAGGATGTTGATACCCAGCATTAGAACCAAAAAAAAAGGGATATCCTGCAGGTCCTCCTAGGACTTTTACTTCCCTTGATGTCAATTTTGGGAGAGAATGTAATATGCTTCATTTCCCAAATGAAATTTATAATGCCATCTTTAAAAAAAAGATTGTCTCTTGCCCTAGCCAGTGTGACTCTGTTAAGCGTCTTCCCATGCACCAAAAGGTTGTGGGTTTGATTCCTGCTCAAGGCACATGCCTGGGTTGAGGGCTCAATCCCCAGTCGGGGTATGTGCAGGAGGCAACTGATGGATATTTCTCTCTCTCTAAAATCAATAAAAACATATTTTTTCTTTTTTTCTTTATTGATTTTAGAGAGAGAGGAAGGGAGAGGGAGATAGATTTGGCCCACAACCTGGGCATGTGCCCTGATAGAGAAACGAACCAGCGACCATTTGGTGCATGGGTCCACGCTCAACCATTGAGCCACACTGGCTGGGCTAAAAAACATTATTTTTATTAAAAAAAAAAAAAAAAAAGATTATCTCCTTGAACCAGCATAAACCACTTCTACCTTGCACCATTCTTTTTGTAGCCTAGAATATATCATTACATACATTAAAATTCATATAAGAAGGTTCTACTCTGCACTGTGCCACAACTCTTTAAAAATTCCACTTTAAAAAATTTCCAATTAAAATTAGGGCCTTTTCAGTTGGTAGTTACAAGATAGTCATGAAGATGTAAAGTACAGCATAGCGAATAGTCAATAATATTGTAATAACTACATATAGTGCTAGGTGGGTGTTTGAAATATTGAGGGGAACATTTTGCAAAGTAGATGGTTGTCTAATCATGTATACTGTACATCTGAAACTAATACAGAATAATATTGAATGTAAATCGTAGTTGAAAATAAAATTTTAAAAATGAATAAAACTATAGTAGGGCCTTTCTCAAAATAGTGAGTCTTAATATTTTGAAGAAAGTGCTAGAACTTTGAGGAAAATAACTTGGGTGGGTTAGATGTTATTCTTGAATTGTGTCACACACAGAATGTTTGAAACGGTTTCGGGAGATGAAGCAACAGCCCACGGCCGTTAGGTAACTTCACGACGGTTTGAGAGCAGGTGACCGGGCTCAGCAGTGTTCTGTGGTCACTTCATTCTCCAGTCACGCCCCAGTCAAACTTGTGTTTTTCTTTTGGAAATTCCTAAAATATCTTACATCTAAAAACTCTAAGTGCAACAAGGACTAGAGTTAACTAAAATCACTGCTGACCCGAGGCCGTGCTAAACACGATGTCCTCGTTGAGGAAATGTATTAATTATAACGGAAAACATGTTTAATGTCACATTTAAGCAGCACAGCTGCAGCTGTGCCGTCCCGCGTTTTTGCTGGAGTTTAGTACATACCATCTTCGGCTCATTGCTCTTGTCTTTTATTACAAAAGTGGAAGCAACAGATAGGAAGAAGCTTGGTGATTGTGGAACTCCTTTTTCTTCAAAAGGAAACAAAAAGTGAAGTTGTCCAAGTGTATGGGGTTGATGGGAAGATGTTCATGGGAGCCTGTGAATAAATGGTAGTTGCCTGAAATTGCCAAATTTAAAAAGTTACTTTGATAAACATCGCAGGTGTCAGATCCATGCTCAATAGCAATCATATTTTTCATAGTAAGGCACTCAGGTGACTTTTTTTTTTTTTTTTTAATCCTCATCCAAGGACATTTTTCCATTTTCTGTACAGACAGAGTGGGAGGGAGAGAGGGGAAGAGAGAGAGAGGGAAACATCGATGTGAAAGGGACACATCGAGTGGCTGCCACCCGCACGACCAACCAGGGCCGGGGACAAACTGCAACCGAGGTACGTGCCCTTAGCGGGAACCGAACCCGGGTCTCTCCGGACCGCAGGCTGATGCTCTAACCGCTGAGCCAAACCGGCCAGGGCTCAGGTGACTTTTGGTACTATCTTTAATACATTTTCTAAGTAGGAATTTTTGCTTTATCAGAACAATATTCCAGAATAAGTTCCATTAGTGACATTGGAAGACTAAAAGTTAGAAAAAAATAACTTTAAAAATAGATGATTAAAACTTTAGCAATCAGGATATTTGGAAGTAGATAAATATGAGAAAGAAATTCAGGTGTTCTTAGATTTTAATGGAGTTGTAGAACTTACCCCTAACTGCCCAGAATTAAAAAGTAGTTTGAGCCCTGGCCAGTTTGGCTCAGTGGTTAGAGTGACAGCCTGCGGACCAGAGAGAGCTGGGTTCGGTTCCCGCTAAGGGCACGTACCTTGGTTGTAGTTTGTCCTCGGCCTCAGTTGGGGTTGTACGGGTGGCAACCAGTTGATGTGTCTCTCTCACATCGATGTTTTTCTCTCTTTCTCTCTCGCTCGCTCTCTTCCGCCCTCTCTCCTTCCCATTGTATCTGAATATAAATGCAAAAATGTCTTCGGGTAAGGATAAAAAGGAAAAAAAAAAAGTAGTTTGAATCTGGCTGTGAAGTGTGTGTGGTTGGTGGTGATATTATTCACCCTACTAGATTTAACTTAATTATAGTGTTCTTAAGTTTCTGTTAAAGTTTAGTTTAGATTCACAGAGAAGTATCAATATTGTGGGACCCATATAGCCTAGAAATGCAGTCAGGTGTAAGGTGAACCAGCCAGGCATTAAAATTTTAACATAGGTAATATACAAAGTATAATTGAAAGTCAACCTACATTTTAGTAATTGGGTTATTGCACATTTTATAGCTAGTCTCTTTGAAGGGTGTTATTAAAATTTTAATATGAAAGAAAATAATATGAATAGCATTTTATTAGCTTTTTCTTAGTGTTTCTATTACATTCTTGTCAAGAAATTTACTTACAGCTTGTTTATGAGTGTTTTGTTTAATTCTTCAAATATTTGGTGAACATCTCATGTACCAAATAGTGTACTATGCGTGGTTGGAATTAAAGGAAAATTTGTCCTTTGACTTGAAAATTGTGTTTGCTATGGAAAACTTTGTTTTTGAAACTTAAATTCTGAATTGTTTATAGGATTTTATGAAAGAAGAATTCACCTATCTGAACTTGATTGTAAAGTTAAATTAGTCTGTCTTTACCATTTAAGGGTGACATAAAAATAAAGTTGAATTTCACAGTTTTGATTAGCATGCATGATATTTGGAATTTTAAAACTAAGAATGTATGCTCTTTCTAGTGAAATCATTTAATTCACCAGGATGAGAAGGCTCTCTTAGAAATAAACCATATTTCTCCATAATTCCCTCTCACTTATTTTCACAGGCATGATTGTTAACACCTTAATTAAATTCCAGGAAAAACTTCATTGCAGAGTTCAGCATCTCCACAGAATGCTCAGTCAGTCTTTTTAATAATTCTCAAACTGAGCTAAGAAGACCATACTTTTCCTAGTCTGCAGTTTTTGAAACTATCTTCATCAGCAAGTTCTACCTAAGGCCTTAAATAAGGAAACACTCCATGCAGACATTCTCATGCTCCAGTCGTGGTCCTTTGTCTTTGCTGCTATGCATTCTGTCACTACTCAGCCAAGTGCTCCTGTCCTGAACTTCCATTATTGATATTCGAGTGTCAGGTCCCGTTAGATATCGTTACATATGATCACAAGGAACGGTCAACATTTCTATTTTATCAAATCGAGGGACATATGTAGGACAGATTGCTTATTGCCATCCACTTAATATCTCTTTCTTTCTTTTTTTTTTAGGTTATTCGATGTGTGCACGGTGTCACGAACAGACAGAGAAACTAAACTAACATTAGTGTTTGAACATGTTGATCAAGACTTGACCACTTATTTGGATAAAGTTCCAGAGCCTGGAGTGCCCACTGAAACCATAAAGGTACCGGGAGTCACCCTTCTGCCTGGTCAAACAGTCACACTGTTATAGTCTGTTAAGCATTGGCATTCTTTCCTTATGAAAATTGCCAGAATTAGAGCCCCTGTTCACATACTCTGTTTTCTGGCCACAGAGTCCCCTTTCTCTCAGTGTGGCTCATAATTTCCTGCCTCGGTGGCCTTCCTTCTGATGGCCATTTCTTTGCGCTCCCCACCAGTAATCACAGCTTAACATTTTCCAGGTCCACCCCTGATACCATGTGATCAACTTTTATAGCTGGATGTAATCTCATTTGTTTTACAGCCCTTGTTCTACATATCTCTCCCTCTATCATATTTTCTGTCTAATTGTGATTACTTACCCATATCTTTCTTACCTTTTCGCTCATTTTTGAATTCTCATGGTCCCTTCACAATGCGTTATACATATAGTTACTCAATAAATAAGACACATTGTCAACCAACAGCTTAAGCATAGACTGATAAAAAAAAAAGATCATCGGCTTTTTCTGATTTATTTCTAAGTTCAAAATTTTCATTTTGGGGCGTTCATATTTTTTAAGCAGCAAGAGAAGGTAACCATACATTTATGCCATGCATTGCCACCTGCTTAGAACTTTTGAGCTTCACATTAACTTCTTCTAGGATGTTAGAGGCTGCTGAGTTGTGGAATTGTTTGCAGAAGTCTCTGTAGTTAAAACGATTGATAAGCCAGTGGAGCTAAACTAAAGCTTCACCTAGCAGGAATGGAAATGCAGTGAGGTGGGGGGAATTCTCGAGGTTGGGAGAGTCAAGCAGGGTAAAATGAGGAACGAGCAGAAAGGTGCTCCCCAAAGTGAGGTAAAGGAGAGGAGAGGAGCAGCGGAGCAGGGGTGACTAGGGGGCAAAGGGGCAGGGAATGGTGCTTGTCACTAGAAGCTTTGGACAAAGTGACTTGTTAAAAGTATTCCTGAGTTTTTCATCTTTCTTCAGGGAAAGAGAATGCCACTTGGTTCTGTGTTGAACAGATCTGCCCAGAGAGTGTTACATTTCTTCAGCCATCAGACCAGCACCCCCACGGATTACAGGGACCATTTTAGCTGATAGGGGTGGAGGTGGAGAGAGGGGGTGGTCATTTAAGGTTTGTGGTTAATGATGTATTGAAGTTTTCATAGTAAAATAAAGCAATGGTCAACTGAAATATTTCAGGCAATTAATTTGTATCTTAACGGCTAATTGAAGATTGTTTGCAAACTTAAAGGCTGAACACAATAGCTGTTTTGTCTTCATCCTTAATTTTTCAACATTTTCTAAACTAGCCCTAGCTGGTTTGGCTCAAAAGTTAGAGTGTTGGCCTATGGACCAGAGAGTTCTGGGTTTGGTTCCCACTAAGGGCACGTACCTCAGGTGCAGTTTGTCCCCGCCCCGTTGGGGTCGTTTTGGTGGCAGCCACTCCATGTGTCTCTCTCACATCGATGTTTCTCTCTCTCTTTCCCCCTCTCTACCTCCCACTCTATCTGAAGATAAATGCAAAAATGCCCTTGGGTGAGAAGGGAAAAAAAAATTTCTAAAATAAGCTAATACACTTTTCTTATAAAATATAGGGTTTTTTGTAATTGGAGCATTTGTGATTCATTAAGTTCATTATTGAAAACATGAATAATTATTTTAAAACTAGAATACCATCATATGAATAATTTTAAGCTGAATTGATACAAAATTTTTTTAAATCCTCACCTGAGGATATTTTTCCATTTATCTTTAGATAGAGTGGGAGAGAGAGAGAAACATCGACTGGTTGCCTCCTGCATGACCCCGACCAGGGCTGGGGACTGAATCATGCCCTTGACCGAAATCCAGCCCACCACTCTTTGGTCTGCAGGCTGTTGCTCCAACCACTGAGCCAAACTGGCCAGGGCGATACAAATGTATTTTTAATAAATAGTTGTATCATTTTTTTCTGTAATTGTCTTTTTAAACAATTGGAATGCAGGATAAACATCTGCTAATTAGGAGGTTCTGGCTAGTTGAGATTCTGGTTCATTGAATTTTTCCAGCACATAACCAGAGAACAGAACTATTTCATTGTATAGGCTCATTTGTGAGATGTCATTATTAATAACTATATCAAGAGAATATTGTTATTATGAACAACCTGTTGGGAACACAGGTTGGATTCTTTTTTTTTTTTCTTAAAGGATTTTATTTATTTATTTATTTTTATCCTCACCCGAGGACACTTTTGCATTCATCTTCAGATAGAGCAAGAGGGAGAGAGGGAAGAAGAGAGAGAGAGAGCCCTGGCCGATTTGGCTCAGCGGTTAGAGCATCGGCCTGCGGTCCAGAGAGACCGGGGTTCGGTTCCCGCTAAGGGCACGTATTTCGGTTGCAGTTTGTCCCCGGCCCTGGTTGGTCGTGTGGGTGGCATCCACTCGATGTGTCCCTTTCATGTCTATGTTTCTCTCTCTCTCTCTCCCTCCCACTCTATCTGAACAAAAAATAGAAAAATGTCCTCTGGTGAGGATTAAAAAAAAAAAGAAGAGAGAGAGAGAAACATCGATGTGAGAGAGACACATCGAGTAGTTGCCACTCACATGACCCCAACGGGGGCAGGGGACAAACTGCAACCGAGGTACGTGCCCTTAGCGGGAACCGAACCCGGGCCCCTCTGGTCCACGGGCCAACGCTCTAACTGCTAAGCCAAACCGGCCAGGGCCAAATTGGATTCTTTATATAGAATGCTTTGTTCTAGTAAGAGCACTTTGCTGAGTATACTTGTATAAATATTAGTTGAATATTTACAGGGAGAGTTCTGTGCTAGGTACTTTGAGGACACAAATCTGAATTAGGCATCAACCTCCGTGCAAGGACCTTAGAGTATAAGAGAAGAGATAAAGTGCACACAGGAGCATGTGGTACACATTCTGCATGGTTATTTAAATACTTTATGGTGTATTTCCAAGTTAAAAAAAATATTATTTATCCATATGTACCAAAATATTTTCTAAAATATTCTTCAGAGTCATAGATACTGCTGTTGACATTGTCTGGCATCAGTCAGAACACATCATGTTGCAAAATAGTTATAAAGTATGTAAAATATTTTAACATAAGAGAATAAAACAAAGTCTAGAAAAAACCACATATCAGACCATTTAGGCTAAGGGAATTTTCCTCCACCACCTGTCTCCTACCATGTTTTCTGTGGCACTGTTTCCCTGTTAGCCTACTTAAATCCAGGATATTCTATTGCATGTTCAGTACATAAATTGCATTGTGGGGGCAGTAGTTGAATAAAACTGGGATGCTCCATGGTCTCTAGCTAGATATTTAGGGTAAAATCTTAGTGTTCAATACTATTTTCATCAACCCGTTGAGCCCGTGATGGGCTTATTTTCCATTTATATGTATCATGTGGCAACTTTTCAAGTTCTTTTAAATACCTTTTGGTTTTTTTTAAAGGCAGAAAATCATGCTAAGAATTTGTGAAGGTTGATAGTTGGGCAAACTCACTGGGGAGATGGAGAGACTTCGTAATTATTAATTATTGCATAGTGCTTATGTCAGACTTTCATAAAGAAGTTTAAGGGTATAGGTCTGAACTGAAAATGATCGTTGAGAGGTTTGTGAGAATAAAATAAAATCTTAGGTGGTTTTTTCCAACATTTTGAAATACACCTTATTCTAAAAAAATAGACACACATATATATACATCTTAGTCATACTTCATCTTGAGGTTTTCGTCACATTCTTTACTGTCTTCTTGATGTACCAAGGTCATCCATTCATGTTGACGGTGACCTTGCATAAAGAAGCTTTGTGCCTGCTATACTGTGAAGTCAGCAAATAGCACATTTTGCCTCCTAGGTTTATCATTGCCATATCTTGTTTTCCTCTTTCTAATTCAAAGGTTATCTTTTTTTAGCGACTTCATTTTGGAGAAATTCATTGCTGTCTTTCTTCCATTTTTATTTGATCATTTGAAATTTGATATTGTCTCCTTGTACTTTCATATTTAATTAAACTTATGAGGCAGGAAATTGACACCTTATTTTTTTTCTTTTGGGGGTTCATGATACATTTTCAGTACCTTTGTTTATATAGCACCTTCAATTTATGAGGACTTTATGAGAAAAAAGAGGGGCTTGCAGATTGTTATTTTTTTCTCTTTCATGCCTTTATCTGAGAAAGGATCAGAAAGAACTGTACATAAATGTTTTCACCTTGTTCTTTAGTCATTTGTAACTGCTACCCAGAAAAAGAACTATATGGCAGGATATATATAGGGGGAGACTGCGGTGTAAAATCATAATGCTTTCCATGCTTTCAGAAGGTAATGCCCTCTTTTACTGAACCGTCGCTTGGTACTGAGGCCTCCCTTTAGGTACGACATTATCTTTCCTAGTATATGACCTGGCTTGTTTCTCTAATAAACTATTTGAGAACCTAATGTTCTTTGGAAATTCTGTGAATGTAACATGGTTTGATGAAATTGGCAGTACAATTTCACAAGTAGGAATTCGAAAACCCTGAAAAAGCACACACAAGATCAGCTATCTCTCCAAAATAGGACAGGGCTCTTTTAGCTCAAGACCATATGTATGGCCTCTTTGGATGACTCAATCTTGGAATAGACGTTATATTTTATTTACTCATCTTTGACAAATGAATTGTATGGGGCTCGAGAAAGCCAAAAAGGTTTGTGTGTCTCTGTGGGTCATTTTCTCCGTGAATTATATTTCATTTTATCTTCAGTTGAATGTTTCTTGGAGATTTCTGTTGGTTGTAATAGTTTCAGGAGGAGATAAAATGTTCTATTAGGTTTCTTTTACAAAACCCAGACTTCAGAGGCTGACACACACTCTTAATAGCACCTGTTTTCTGCCTCTGGGAAGTATCTGTTTTAATGAATAATATCTGCTTGCAGTAAACAGTGGCTCTGGTGTCAATATGGGATGCCTGGGGCTGATTCATCTTTTTCGATTCGAGCTGACATAATGCAAAGTGACTGACCAGTCCCCTGCG